CACGCACGAGCGCAAAAGCAGGTGGCCTGTGGGCGAAAACGCAGGTACAGCTTCCCACAGCCAAATCTCGAATTCTACAGTGCTATAAAAGCGGGAGCTCAGCCGTCTCCCATCCCACGCACATCTCAAGCTCCCCACACGCTCTCTTATTTTCTCTGTTCCTTCTTTTTTGTTCTCATGTGTGCTCCACTTTGACTACTCCTCCTCATCATGTCTGTTATCCCCTTTAAGTCTTGATTTATCTCTAGTTCATCATCTAGAGTTCACACAGATTTGGGGTTTCGAGAGGGGATTATTTTTAATCCGTTTGTTGTAACTGCTACTGTAGTTATCCTACTGTAAAAATGATATTCTTAGGCTCATAAAAAATACTAGAAGCAGTTCATAACCCACACATCTGTAGGCACTCATAAATGTTGAAATGCTGAAAACGTGAGTCATTTTTTATGAAGCAAATGCTGAGCTACTGAAGCGCTCCTACTAAATTTAGACTGAGCCTCAGACACTGGGTCAAAGGTTAGAAGCTTGTTTTTAATGGGTGTGTGTAATTGAAAACACTATTTTAAAATATCTGGCTTTTTTTGTAGCTATAATCATGTGTCTCACCAGGTGTATTTCAGGCTGAGTTTACACAAGCAGGCCTATTCAACTGTTGTTTTGTGTTTTGTGTTGTGTTTTTTGTTTTGTTTTGTGTTGTGTTTTTTGTTTTGTTTTGTTGTTTTGTGTGTTGTGTTTTGTGTGTGTGTTTTGTTTTGTTGTTATTTTGTTTGCTTTGTTTGTTGTGTTTTTTGTGTGTGTTTTGTTTTGTTGTTTTGTTTTGTTGTTATTTTGTTTGTTTTGTTTTGTGTTGTTGTGTTGTTGTGTTTTGTTTTGTTTTGTGTTGTGTTTTTTTGTTTTGTGTTTTGTTTTGTTTTGTTGTCATTTCGTTTTGTTTGCCTGATCCAAACCAATTTCAGAAGTGGTGTGCTTTCTGATTTTTGGTAATGCGTCTCAGACTTTCAAACACACATAGTTAGAGCAATGTGTTATTTCTTTTCATAATATTTCGTGAGGGGTTGTTAATAACAACCGGAATTGAATGTGTCTTAAAGGAATAGTTCACCAAGGCCGACGCCAATAGCCTTGTTGGCAGCACGCTGACATATAGTGCTGCTGCACTACGGGCGTCCCGGGTTTGTGGACCTTTCCTGATCCCACCCACTCTTTCTCTCCCACTTCGCTTCCTGTCATTACACTGTCCTATCTAAATAAAGGCCTAAAATAAATCTTAAAATAAAAAGGAATAGTTCACCAAAAAAATGAACATTTGCTTAAAATGTACTGCAAGATGTAGAGTAGCTGAGTTTGTTTCTTCATTGGAACAGATTTGGAGAAATTTATCATTACTTCACTTGTTCACCAGTGGCTCCTCTGCAGTGAATGGGTGCCGTCAGAATGAGAGTCCAAACAGCTGCGTGTTTGTAAGAAGCAAATCATTAAGGAGTTCAAACTTCAAACTATCTCTTGGTTTTTTTGAGTAAAAAAATGTAATAAATGGACTCACATTTTGGTCAGAAGCGAAAAGTTATAAAAGTCATGATGGATTTGTTTCTTATAAACAAGCAGCTTTTCATTTCACATGATGTTAATTGTTGGACTGGGGTTGTGTGGATTACTTGTGTATTATTGTGATGCTTTTATCAGCTGTTTGGACTCTCATTCTGATGGCACCCATTCACTGCAGAGCATCCATTGGTGAGCAAGTGACGTAATTATAAATTTCTCCAAATCTGTTCCCATGAAGAAACAAACTCATCTACATCTTGGATGGCTTGAAGGTGAGTCAATTTATAGCAAATTTTCATTTTTAATGGACATGTTCAGTGTGTAAAGATCACAGAGCATTTCAAATTCTTCCTTTCGTGAACAACTTGAAGTCAGCAAGATAAGAGTCCTCTTGAAAAGTCCCATGGACACATTCCCACCGGTCAACACTCTTTTCATGGGTCCATATCTTTTTGCTTAACTAAGGTACATTACCTGGGAGTTTCTGGTCCTTACACTGTTGTCTGCAGCAAATTCAGATTTGTATACTCTACCCTAATGAACAAGAATCAGTGGCGGAACATGCATTGCTAAAGTCTCACGCATGGTGAACCTACGCAAGTTTGCCACATAACTATGACAACTAGTGTGGACGTGCTAGCAAAAGTGACTGCAGTCTGAACAGAAAAACCGAACAGATCTGTTTACATACAACCTGCATTTAAAACGGTCTGTTTAAAAATCGGATTTTAAAAAAGTAGTTAGCTGGTTATGGGTTTTTTAAACCAAAATATTACCTTTTTTTAAAATTTCGTTTTGGTTAACAATAACAACACTAGTCACAATCTGTGAATTTTCTGAACCATTTAGCTGAAAAGACTTTCAGAACTACTGCTCTGAATGCATAGATTACTGATGAAAATGACCAAGCATGAAAGATTCAAAAGACAATGTGATAAAATCATTTATAGCTTCAATAAAGACATTCACAGAAGGCCAAAAGCCCACCCAATCTGTTGCCCATGGTCTAAACTGGTTGTCAGTGATGTCATGACCACCTCTCAGCCAATCATGACCCGCAGAGGAACAGTTTAATCAGCCCGGTCCTGGGGGACTGATGTCTCGGTTCAATAAAGCATCTCTCCAAAAACACATCTGCATGAGCGATTGATTTATCAGTGGCCAGAATGGGCAGTGTCTTGGGGGACGGTGTCCTGAACCCATTTACTGGCTATTTTTGGGAAAGTGTTTGGGTCTCGAGTCATGCCCTTGCTTATTCTTGTTAAACTAGCAGCCGCCTGGAGACTGCTCTCTAAGTGAGAATGAATTGAAGATCTCCGGTGGACTGCAGTGACCCCCAACTGAGGCTCAATGTCAATGTACTAAAAAACATTTAGAAAAGAGACTACAAAGACCAGTGAAAAAAGGGAGATATGCAGATAGTAAATAGAAATAGAAAATGTAGGGCCTGATTTTTATCCATTTGACTAAAGATAAACAGTGTTGGTGACGTCAAATCAAGAGAAAATCTAATATTTACCAACAGTGAAATCTTAAATATGCACATTTACTATGAAACTATGAAAATAATTGTCTTTTGCATAACATGTAATGATAAATCATGCACAATAAGCTTACAATGTGTTAAGGAAATACAGTACTGTTTGGGGTCAGTAAAAAAAAAGAAATTAATTCTTTTATTCAGCAAGGATGCATTAAATTGATCAAAAGTGACAGAATAGGCATTTATAATGTTACGAATAAATGTGATTCTTTTCATGGTTGTATTCATCATAGAATCCCGAAAATAATAATAATATACTGTACTAAGTAGCACAGGACATTTAGAAAAGAGACTACAAAGACCAGTGAAAAAAGGGAGATATGCAGATAGTAAATAGAAATAGAAAATGTAGGGCCTGATTTTTATCCATTTGACTAAAGATAAACAGTGTTGGTGACGTCAAATCAAGAGAAAATCTAATATTTACCAACAGTGAAATCTTAAATATGCACATTTACTATGAAACTATGAAAATAATTGTCTTTTGCATAACATGTAATGATAAATCATGCACAATAAGCTTACAATGTGTTAAGGAAATACAGTACTGTTTGGGGTCAGTAAAAAAAAGAAATTAATTATTTTATTCAGCAAGGATGCATTAAATTGATCAAAAGTGACAGAATAGGCATTTATAATGTTACAAATAAATGTGATTCTTTTCATGGTTGTATTCATCATAGACTCCCGAAAATAATAATAATATACTGTACTAAGTCCTGTACAACCTACAGATGAATAATCTTTCTCCCTGGTGGATCAAATATGGTGCTCTTCTGTGTTAAATATACCTCAGTTATACATAAATCACACAAGTCTCACTTCGACTGGCAGCATGTAATGTAATGTAATGTCTGAGTTAACAGAGAACTCATTCTTGCTGTAGAAGCCTTGAGCAAGCGCCCAGTTCATGCAGTAAAAGGAGACACGCTATAAAGTCAAGGAGAGCTTCTTGTCACAAGCCGTATTTTGCACTCATTTCTACTGTGTTCAGTAGGTCCGTTCAAGGAGACTGTCGTTATTTGAATGAGCTGCCAGTTTATCAGATCTAAACCTCTAAATGTCATATAAAATGTCATGTAGAGCAACCAACAGTTTGTTGTTAGACATGCATGTTTATTATGTTGGATCTTGGCCAGAACATTCTGCAAAGTGGACTTTATGCCATTAAAATGCATGTTATGGTTTGGTTACATGAGTGATGTTAACAAAATAATGTTTTATTTTAAATCTATAACATACACTACTCGTTAAAAGTTTGGAATGATTAAGATTTTTTCATGTTTTTTAAAAGAAGTCTCTAAGAAGCCTCAATTTAAAATAACCATATTCTATTTAAATATATATATATATATTTTTATCTAATTTATTTCTGTGATGCAAAGCTGAATTTTCAGCACCATAACTCCAGTCTTCAGTGTCACATGATCCTTTAGAAATCTTTCTAATATGCTGATTTGCTGCTCAAGAAACAGTTATTACTATTATCAATGTAGAAAACAGTTGTGTTGCTTCATATTTTTGCGGAAACCATGATACACTACCATTCAAAGGTTTGGGTTAAGTAAGATTTAAAAAGAAATGTATACTTTTATTCAGCAAGGACGCATTAAATTGATCAAAAGTGACAGTAAAGATATTTTTAATGTTACAAAAAATGTAATGCTGTTCTTTTGAACTGTCTATTCATCAAAAAAAATCCTGAAAAAAGTAGCAGTTTCGACAAACAAAAGCAACATTTTCAACATTGATCATAAGTCGTTATTAATAACCGTGCACCAATAAAAATGGATCATATTTGATTGATTAATACAGTTCGAGTATAGTGCATCAAACACTTTGAACTGACACACCTAGAGACTCTGCAGAGGTGTTTTGCCTTGACAAGTAATTGACGACAGTTGCTACTCACTTGTTGAGATAAATGCGTTTCTCAGTGAACTGTCCCGGGCCGTAGTTGGGGTCCTCATAGGGTTCGTTCTGCACCACCTCCACACCCTCTCCTCTCTCGCTCTGCTCATGGCTGTGCTTGCTGATCATGTACAGCTGACCAATCCTGTACTAGAGACACAGACCCAAAACAAGTCAGGACCTTCATATTCAACTCGCATAAAACATGACATAAGTCAACCACTGGAAATCATGCTGGTCATATGATGCATAGACTGGCTTAAGCTTTTCCAAATCACAGCTGTTGATTGATTTTTGAGGTTCTTGGTAGTGATGAACCGGTATTTCTGCAATAGAAAAATATACAGCGAAAACGAATATCCAAACTGTTTTGGAGGGCAGACATTTCAGAAAGAATTTCTGTAATGGTGTGTTTTGAGTCAGTGTCTATTTTGTTCACACATGGATAAAATTACAACAGGTAAACATGTCAGCTGATATAAAAAAAAAAAGATATTTCGGTGCCTCACTAGTTCCTGTTTTTCAATCTTTGAAACACGCTCAAAGTTTAGTAAAAAACAGCAGAAAAACGAAACATCCCTAAATGAAATCCTTCATTACGTTTGCAACACTTTCCACAATCCAGTCAATTCCAGATTAACAAAGTCTCGCCCCAATTTTTTCTTGTTCACGTTTCACTTGGATATACTGTATATACAGTGGGGCAAAAAAGTATTTATTCAGCCACCAATTGTGCAAGTTCTCCCACTTAAAAAGATGAGAGAGGCCTGTAATTTTCATCATAGGTCTACCTCAACTATGAGAGACAAAATGAGGAAAAAAAATCCAGAAAAGCACATTGTAGGATTTTTAAAGAATTAATTGGTAAATTCCTCGGTAAAATAAGTATTTGGTCACCTACAAACAAGCAAGATTTCTGGCTCTCACAGACCTGTAACTTCTTCTTTAAGAGGCTCCTCTGTCCTCCACTGGTTACCTGTATTAATGGCATCTGTTTGAAGTTGCCCAGCGACAGCCCCAAAACATTACTGCTCTAGAGGAGATCTGCATGGAGGAATGGGCCAAAATACCAGCAACAGTGTGTGAAAACCTTGTGAAGACTTACAGAAAACGTTTGACCTCTGTCATTGCCAACAAAGGGTATAAAACGAAGTATTGAGATTAAATTTTGTTATTGACCAAATACTTTCCACCATAATTTGCAAATTAATTATTTAAAAATCCTACAATGAGATTTTCTGGATTTTTTTTTCTCATTTTG